AAAATGCGAAATTCCGCTTGTTAAGGAAGCTGCAAGCGTTTTCAATATTCCGCGTTCAACTCTGCAACGACGCCTTTAAGGGAGTCAAAGCACGGTCAGATATACGTGCCAACTCCATGAAATTGACTCTTCTTGAAGAAGAGGCTTTAAAAGATTGGATTCTCTCGCTTGTAAAGCGTGGGCTTCATCCTCGGCCGGCATACGTACGGAATATGGCAACAATCCTTCTCCAAAAACGAAACTCGAATTCCACAGTCTCTGTGGGTGAAAAATGGGTATACAATTTTGTCAAACGTACTTCGGCTTTGAAGACTCAGTTCTCTCGAAGATATCATATCCAACGTGCAAAATGCGAAGATCCGAAGCTTTTAACTGAATGGTTTGACCGTGTTAAAGCCGCAAAGAAGGAGTATGGCATTCTTGATCAAGATATCTGGAATTTTGATGAGACCGGTTTCGCCATGGGAATGGTAGCTACAGCCCGTGTAGTTACACGGTCTGACTGCGTGGGCAAGCCGTTTCTCGTACAGCCAGGAAATCGAGAATGGGTGACTTCAATTGAGTGTATCAACGCCGCCGGTGTGGTGTTGTCACCGTACTTGATTCTTAAGGGAAAAGTTCATATAGAGGCATGGTACCAAGGCCTTCTTCCCTCTGATTGGCGTATCAATCTATCACCAAATGGTTGGACTTCCAATGATATCGGTTTACATTGGCTTCGTGAACACTTTATTCCTTCCACCAAGAACCGGCGGACAGGGCGATATAGCCTCTTAATTCTTGACGGACATGACTCCCATTTAACTGCGGAATTTGACGATATATGTAGTCAAAACGATGTTATTCCTATCTGCATGCCTCCACATTCTTCACACCTTTGTCAACCACTTGACGTTGCTTGCTTTGCACCGTTAAAAAGAGCGTACGGAAGCTTAGTGGAACGGCTGATCCGCCAGGGCATCCACCATATTGATAAGGTTGATTTCTTGGATACATACCCAGAAGCACGTTCTCTTGCCTTTAAAGAATCAACCATTTGCAACGCCTTTAAGGCTTCAGGATTGGTTCCATTCCAGCCGGACGAGGTTCTTGGTAGACTGGTTATACAGATCCGTGAGTCTACTCCAACCGGCAGCACTACTACTACATCAACAGTACCAAAAACGCCCAAAAACACGAAGCAATTACGGAGGCATGAAACTACAATTGAAAGGCTTCTTCGTGAACGTACAATCAGCCCGTCCTCGCAAATGAAAGCAGCGTTATCCTATATTGTAAAAGGATGCGAAATCGCCTTCAACCGGGCTGCTTTGCTTGAGCAGGAAAATGATGAATTACGAACTGGATTGGAGAGGCAGAACACCAAGAACAAGAGATCTTATCGTCGAATGGCTGGTCTAGACGGCCTCACCGTTGACGAGGCCAGAAACGCGTTCAAAAGAATTTGTGAAGCTGATCAAGTTGGTGGAAGCCAGCTTAAAGAATCAGCTGCCAGCGAGGAACAACCTCGCCGCCGGGCACCACCTCGCTGCAGCGATTGTAATACAATTGGGCATATAAGAACAAGGTGTCCAACACGTCAAAACACCAATTAAACACGTTAATTCTTTGATATATGGTGTATATAAGCTTCATCTTTTCATGGAAGGCTGTTTGGGTGGGCGCGGGTGCCCACTCGCTTGCCGTGCCCACTCGCTTACCGATTACGTTAGTTAGGTTCGGTGCTTAGTCATGACCTAGTAAGCCATGGTTGAGACGCTGTGTTGGAGGTTGGATCGCAGTCGGAAGATAGCTTGTTTACTACAAACAGAAGCCTCGGCCACCTGAGAGGCAGTAAGCTTTCCATCAATGAGCATATCGTGGATCATATCGTGGATTAGGTCAAGTTTTGATTGAGCTAGGTCTTTGTCGTTTGAATGTTACCACCGGCCGAAAAGAAGATACATTCTCATCAAGACCGAGAAGATCTTAATTACAGAACGTGTGTTATAATACTAGGCTGTTATCTCTCATACATACACGGCTCATCGATCTTCCAGCTTCATGCCAGAACTGGCTTAGCATTGTTTCATCCTGGGGTTGCTGAAACAACTGAAGAGTGTAGGTGGTGACACCAGTATCCGGAAGAACTCTACAAATCTTGGAATGGCAACTCAGACTATGCCCCAATCCCGGATAACTTCGGATCTGCATTGACACCACTAAGCTCCTCCCCCACATATATATTCAACAATAACCCCACCTTCTAACATACATCAACAGACCAACTAGCATTTCTTCCATTCGCAGATTGGAAAGTGGGTCGAATCTATGATGAACAACCATTGAAATATGTTCACTATCGAATTAACTAGAAAGTAATTCTAAATAGAAAGAACACTGCTCGGGTCATTACGATTATGAAAAATGTGCTGGACTTTGATAAAGGTGGGCTGTTTCGCTCTGTTGTGGGACTGAGCTTGCTTCGGACAGGATTCCTGTCCTGGGTATGCTGGTCGCATACTTCGTATAGGACGGGTGTATGTGCAAACTGCTAGGGCTTTCCATCAACGCTGTAACGGGTATCCCCCAACAAGGCCGAGCAACACTGGCGGTAAACTTCTAGAAACGCTACACGTACTTCGTTTTACTCTCATGACCCAGCAAGCGAGCCTATAGCGCAGACCGGGGATTATCTGGGCTCTCCGATATCGACACTTTGCAACGAGCAAATTGTCGCCGCAAAGGTGGCCTTACTGGGAAAAAAGCCACATGGCAGGGAAATCTCGGAGCCAGCCTCATTCTCCCCACCACGATTTGATCCACATAGTACCATCAACACCTTCGTTGAGAACTCGAAGAGCTTCCTTCCTTTCCGGCTCTCGCTATCAAAGCCACTCCCCTCACTCATACACTATCGGGAAAGCCAACCATACGGGAGCATTCAATTTCTCATTAGTGTCGATGCCCCAGCCCAGCCTCCCCCCCTCCCCCAGTGCCTACCTACTTATGAAGCAGTCACTGTACTGGTATCGCAACAGCCATCATGGCTTGCTAGAAGTCAGCGTAAACCGGTATGACATCCCTTTCGTTCTTGATGCGCTCTAGACATTGACAATCCTCCCCGTCTTCGATTCTCGCAGCCACCGGGGCTCACTACGCGCCGGCTCCAGCTTCGGCCCACCTGAAATTCCCACGAACTTGTTACACCACGCAATGACAGTATTCCACCAGACCAGACTATTCTCCCGACTGAGGACAAAATGATTCTCATCCGGGAAATTCAGCAGCCGAGTCTCAATCCCCTTCAATCGGCACGCGGCATACGCCGCCCAGCCCGCTGTACTGGGGCACCGAAAATCCTTATCGGAGTGGATAATGAGCATGGGCGTCGACCAATTCGTGAGATACTCGACGGGATTCCACTTCCGCCAGAATTCCTTTGCGCTGGGTGGGTCTCCATCCGCCGAGGGTGCATCGGTGAAGTAGGGCGACCCGAACGAGCGGGTGAGCTCCTCCTTCTGCGCGAGGTCGTCCCCAAGCAGCTCGGCGACCACATCGAAAACCCCGTCGTGGCACACGATTGCCATCAGCCTCTTGGCCAGCGGCTGACCCGCCACCCACAGGGCCATGTAGCCGCCGTAGCTGGCGCCAGCGGCCACGGCCCGGTCGGTGTCGCATTTGGTGGACAGGTTGTCTTCAACCCAGCGGAAGCAGCGCTCGATGTCATGGTAGGGGTGGCCGCCCCATTGGCGCGAGACCGCGCGCGTGAATTCCCGCCCGAAAGAATCCGAGCCTGTGAAGTTGGGGATCGCAACGATGTACCCCTGTTCTGCCACGAGAGCCGCATTCCACCGCCAGGTCCACGCGTCTTTCATGGCGGAGCTGGGGCCGCCGTGCATGAGGATGAACAACGGGTGCTTGATGACGGAGGTCGGGTCGTACTCGGAGGGCTTCAGGATCCAACATTGCACGGGGGTCTCGCCGTCAGGTCCGCCGGGGTAGGTGATGGATTCGACTTGCTTAGAGGAGATGCCGAAGTAGGCGCCGTGGTTAGAGGAAGTGTAGATAACCTGGCTGTTTTCAGATTGGTCATCGTTGCTGGTCAGGGGCGTGACGATTGAGAATAGCCCCTGGTCAATGAACGACGAGGACGTGGCCAGTAGGCGGGTCTCGGTGTCGATTTCGCTGAGACGATACAGTGCGGACACCGAGCCGGAGATGCTTAGCTCCTTGGGGATGACAGTTTGACGCTTCTCCTGGGAAAATGGCGGAACACCCACCTGGTACACCCGAGCCCGAGCTTGAGAGTTGGCCGTCAGATACAAATTGGTGCCATCGTTCGCCCACAAAATCGCGTCCGGGAAGACGTCCCACTGACTCCTGTCCGCAAGATTGACCGTCCGCAGAAGGAGGACAATGCTCATAGTGTCGACGTCCACGAGACCTATTGTCTTATGCGACCACTCCTCGCGGTCCTGGTCCACAAGAAACGCAGCAAGCGGGCCCTTGGGCGCGAAGGTCGGGGTCGAAACCACGTTGGCATGACCTGGAACACCAATCTTTCTTAGGGGCGGCAGTTCAGTCTCCTCGAACGTCGACAATGGGATAAAATACAGCGACCGCTGCGTTTCGATCCATTCTGTGTTTCCGGGTTCGCTTGTGGCGAAGAGAATCCCGTATGTCGAGATGCTCATCTCCGCGGAGCTGGACGAGTCGGCATAGAGGGGCACCGCCAGCCCGGTATCTCGCAGCGCATTTATTGGGCCAGCCGGAGACAGCTGCCATCTCTTGGTCTCGCCATTGAGTTTCAGCACCGTGAACCAAATGACCGAGCGATACTGGTCGACATAGGTATCCCAGCTTCTGGGACGACTATGCGCCCATTCACGCGCAGTCGTCGGCGGTTTCTCGGTCTTTGCTGTGTTATATAGGTTCTGATCGGCATCCGCCGGCGCGGTGAAGACAAGGGCAATGTCCCCGTTGTCCAAGACTTTAGTTCTGACATCCTTCAACTTCGCGTTGATGGAACCGGCGAGATGGGGTCTGGGTGGTGACGACACCACGGTCAGTACTCTGCTGTCTTGATGGCTTTCTCGATAGGATAGATTTGAGCCGTACCGTATAGTGCTATCAGCATCGCCAATCCACAGCTCTGTATCCTTGCTCTTCTCGCCCTCCCTCTCCCACAGCAGGGACGATCCCCGCAGCCAACGGAACGAACTTTCCTTGGGGTTGTTGCTGTATCGAATCGACTTTCCTGTTCCCAGGTCAAGTATGTTGACATCTGTAGAGCTGGTGTGTGTTGCGAGATCGTACGTCGAAACGGTGTAGAGCGCGAATTTTCCGTTATCATTCGGGACTGCTTCCGAGGTTCTTGGAGCGGTGACTAGGAGTCTGTTGGACGGTTCCGAAAGAGTTAGCAATATTGCTCCCCAATATACACTTGATCATGGCAAGGACATACTCGGGGGTGAATTTCGTCCGGGCTGGCATCTTGGGGGTTTGGGGGAGGTCCAAATTGACGACACGCCAGTCAGCGATGTGTAGCGATGTGTACTAGATAGGTACGTGTAGTGAGGGGCAGTTCGTCTTAAATGATATCAACCTGGCGGCCCCCAACCGGAGCTCCGACGCTGATAGTCTGACCGTGCCGGGACACCTGGACTAACTCGAGTTAGCGAGCTATATGTAAATGCCGCAAATGCGAAGAGCATGCATAATCAGCACTTGTGAATTATGCAATTAATTTATGCAATGATGCCATTCTGTTGCAGTGTGGCCGCGCTTATCAAGCTGCGCGTGCTGCTTTAAGCCTGGAACGATAAGGCGTTATCGGTACCTATCACGTGACAATCGTGGATCTTTCCTATCCCCTGTTATAAGCATAAGATTACGCACGAGTCTCCACAGCCAGCACAACAGAATGTCGCTCAAAGATGCCTTCAGCAAGTTCTTTGAGAACATCTGCAACCCTAAGAGTTAGCCATCAGCCGACCAGCTTCTGCATGTCAGCCCAGTTTATCCTCATCTTGATGTACCTGGCCACAAACATACGAATATGGACAAACTTCCCAGCTCTACGGATTGTATCAACAGGGAAGCGGACAGGACTTCAGCAAGAAAGAGCATCCACACATCTTCAATCGAAAGGTCATCTGAGAACCAATGCACTGCAACTGATGCGAGCAGGCTCAGGATTGCCAGCCGGTGGCCCACAAACCACGTTGAAGAAACCATGCTCATGTGATTCCGTGGCGTCTAGGAGAAGGTTAAATGGAATGCTTGGAGACAGTTCGCGGGTCTGTCGGTAGAAGAGGCCCAGCAGCCCTTCATCCAGCTAGTGGATACGCTCAGGGGACAGTATGAGACCAAGTAGTATCGAATTTGTGAGGCGGATCGGTATGTTTGAGAGTGGTAAACGTGGCGGTTGAGTTTGGGTATGATCATCCCTGTTCGAGGTACAAAGATGATTAATGATATATTCACCATAAGTACCAGACTGTATATGAATCAACCGAGACATGCTATATGCTCTCTCCCTGTTCTCATCGTGTAACGGAGCCCATCAAGCGAAGGGTTTATTCTTGGGTGTATGCTCCGAATATAGCTACCATGGGGAATATAGCCAAGAAGGAATATCTCCAGACATTAACTGGGATAAATCCCGGCGAAACGTCCATACACCACTCTGTTCCAAGTCCGTCTCACCGATATTCACCATAAAATTGCCCCTGGTCTTCCGCTCCTGCCATGATCTCATGCTGGACGATCCAACATTCCGGGATCGACAGCCCATGCGAGGAATGCTATAACCAAAACAAAAAACAACTCAGACACAGCAAGCTATAAGAACATTACCACTCCACACAGTCTCTGGCATGCAACAATTATACTACCGCGAATATGCATCTACGCGCACTCTCGACACTGACGCTGCCGCTGACCCTTCTCATTCCTCTCACCACATCTCAAACCCTCAACATTGTAGCTCACCAAGATGACGACCTCCTCTTCCTCTCGCCAGACCTTCTGCACACCATCCAATCAACTACGTCTTCCACTCCAACACGCACAATCTTCCTCACGGCCGGCGATGCAGGGGACACATCCTCCTACTGGACGTCGCGTCAAGCCGGTTCCCTGGCCGCCTACGCGCGCATGGCCAACGCCCCGAACACATGGACCGAGTCTACTCTTTCCGTCCCTGACACCATCCACGCAATCCCGTTATACACCCTCTCCGCAAACCCATCCATCTCCCTCGCCTTCCTTCAACTTCCCGACGGCAATCTGCACGGCGAAGGCTTCCCGACCACGGGCAACGTAAGCCTCCAACAGCTCTGGCAAGACAATATCCCCTCAATCTCTAGCCTAAACCCTGCTCAAGAAAGCACATATACAAGAGACACCCTGCTCTCGACCCTCAGCGAGGCCATCGCCTCCTTCAACCCTGTCCGCGTGAACACCCTCGACTTCACTCGGGACTTCGATGCCACCAGCCCCCCGGAAGATGGTTCATGGTCGGATCATAGCGACCATCTCGCGACTGCCCGATTCGCGCAAGCAGCCGCGCAGGACTGCGCGGCCAAGGGGAAGTGGAATACGGAGGTGTTCGGGTATATGGGATATCCGGTGCTGGACGTACTGCCGCAGAGTGGGAATGTGCAGGGCGCGGAGTTGGTGGAGAAGCAGTTGGTATTCTATACGTATGCCTTGAGCGATTGGCGGACTTGTCGGGACGATGGGGGGTGTAAGGGAGGCAATGAAGAGGCGTGGTTGGCGAGGCAGGTTGCTGTGTCGTCGAGTCCCGGGACAGTGGTTGCCAGTGCGCAGGTTGTGGCCAAGGAAAATGGGAATGGAGAGTTTGGGGGTCGCTGGGGATTTGTGAGGGCTGGCGACACAGTTGAGTTGACGGGGGAGGGGAGTAACGGGGCGTTGCAGTATCGTTGGAAGCAGGTGGAGGGGGTACAGGTGCAGGTAGAGGCTGCTGAGAGCCCGAAGGCCACGGTTATGGTGGCAGGGGTACAGGTTGGCGAGACGTTGGGGTTTGAACTGGTGGTGATCGGTGATGGGGGCGTGGAAAGTACGCCGGCACGCGTGAACTTGTTTGTGGTGCCGGGGGAAGATGTTGCACCACAGGCGAGCAATGTCACGGCTTCGTCGGAGAATGCGGCGGGTGGGCAGTCGGCTGCTAAGGCGGTTGATGGCCGGGTTGGGGGGTATCCTGGGGATGCGTCGATGGAGTGGGCCACGGTGGGTGGGAGGGAAGGCAGCTGGTGGAGACTGGAGTGGGACTCGCCGCAGACGATCTCCCAGGTTTACTTGTTCGATCGACCGAACACGTTAGACCAAGTCACGGGGGGTGTGGTGGAGTTCGATGATGGCAGCAGTACTGCCTTTGCTGCCCTCTCCGACTATGGTGAACCGAATCGGGTGAACTTCGAGCAGAGGTCAGTCCACGCTCTGACAGTCAGAGTCACTTCTGTGAGCTCCACGACGGGCAACGTGGGACTGGCAGAGGTCAAGGTGTTTTAACGTGCTTTGGGCAAGATGAGCATTCTGTACTTAGGGTTAGAATTATTGACTTCCTCAAGTCGATGGTATTCCGGATCAACATTCGGTGTCAGCGTTTCACGCTGGGAATATATGACGTCTAATGGTACTCCACGCCCCATGGTTCTTTCTGAAAGGGACGAATTCAATAAGTTTAATAAGTATCGAGAAAAAGAGCAATATTGTTGGTAAAACTAGGCAATTGTTAAAAGTCTTCACAGGAAGGAAAGTATCGTTCGCGATTTATTGTAAAGTATTGATTGATAGGACAGATTCCGTCCATGCCTAAGCATTCATAGGACTGCCACCTTAAAGATGTGAAATGGGGAATCACCGGGACTTAGAAATCCCATGGCAAAGACGCCACCCTGATCTTCACCCCGGGAATAGCCTCGAAGTCTTCAGCGACGCTGGGTGGAAACAAAGGCTCCTCATTATAAGGCACCCACCGCCGAGTCCATTAGTACAAGCTCTCATCGTTAAACTTCAAATCGAAGGTAAAGAGCGGCTCCTCCTCCGGATTGGTGTCATCGTAGGATTGAGCCATCCCAAAGACCAGGGTGTCCTCGTCCAGGCTCTCGTCGGGCCAGAGTTCTCGATAGCACTGAACCAGAGATCCGGCGCGGCAGAAGCCGTAAAAGGGAGGGGCTTCCGGAAAGCGTTCTCGGAGCAGCCGAAATGCCTCGGCCAGGCGCGGCTCGAGGGTCGCCCAATTGAAGTCAGCTGGAGGTGGAGTCTCATCGTCCGTGTCATGCGACACGGTGACTATCTGCTTATGCCCACAAGCATACGTATAGACGTAGAACTCCGGGGTAGGCAACTCCATTTCGGCGGTGTTAGACGGCCTTGCGGCGTGGGTTATCTGCGTTCAAAAATATCAAGACGAGTACTCAAGGGTATAAAGGGTATACTCCCAGGACTGGCTTGAGGTCTGGAAGGCTGATGATTCAACGATAAGGGAGGGGGGCTTCGCTTGGTCTTATATAGATGCCGTGCCGCTGCCCACTTCAGTGGATAAGTCGTGTGTTTCAAAGGATGTGAATCGCCTTCGTGCGGAATGTTTCGAGTTCGAGATAAAGCATGTCAGCATTCGAGACAGATGAAAATGGAAGAGGGTTATTCTGCTCGCCTTTGCTTGTCTTTGTAGTCTCCTTTTGTGTTGATGACTTCCGTCTCGAGACAAGGAATATCGATCTCTTTAGGACCGTTCTAGAGCAATACCTTTGTCATTATCTGATCAAGAAAGTTAAACGGCTTGGGCAGCCGTGTCAAAGAATGACGACAACGCTAGCTGGTCGCGGCGTAATCATAGCAATGAGAAAGCCGTTACCCCTTCGACAGAACATGTTTGACCATGGATAACAACACTTATTATAATTCTCGCTGCCCGCATCCGAAAGCGTCATGTCTGGTATGTTTGTATGGAAGTCTGTTCTGCTTCGCTTTCGAGGAAGTCTTCAAGTCCTAATCTGATTATTTGTCTGGGCCACATCGTCGATGGGTGGGGTCGTTAATGCGTTGTAGGTCTGGAATGGCAAAGCAACTAGATTGTTTTGCTCGCCATGGGGCTTAATGCCACTTTATCAAGGTCAAAGTAAGACTAGAAAGGGCCATGCATCCCTGTCAGCAACGGTGCTTCATCAAGAAATGATACCAAAGTGTTGTAGTCAGTTAGCTGGGTGGCGTTGCAGCGGCTGTTCTTGAGATTCCGCGGCCAAGATCCGCGCGAACATGACCTTGCGCTTTGCTGTAAACCGCGTACACTCGGAGAGGACGTGCTTCAGTGTCTGCCAGCAGGCTTGCTTGCATGGGCACGTCCCGGACTCGTGTTATTGTTCTGCGCGCAGTACGCGCAATTCGGGCTTCGCTTGCAGTGTCGGGCAATATGTTTATACGTCTGGCAGTTATACCACTACTGGATCCTATATTTTTGTCGTAATAGGAGTAGCAGCGGTTCTCACAGTCGAATTCTACAACCAGCGGGGATCGCGGAGTCTCCTTGGCCCTGCGGGTTCCAAGAAGCCAGCCCACCAGGTAATCTTGGTGGGCGTCGCAGCGAGCGGCCGGCGTTGTCGGCCTTGATTCTTGCGGCCAGGCTCTCTAGGCCTACAGTGGTGTCCACCCCCTTCACCACCACTCCTTAGGCACCCAAGCGGCTATATCCAGACGTAGCGCGGCGCGAAGACCCTCCGGGCCTTTCTCCTTCCTTTTTACTATAAGAATGGAATTCTTGCCTAGCTCGATCATCTCCTTTTTGTAGCTCCTCATGCCTGGAATCAACCTAATCAGAAATAGGTTAGTGTAGTATACCAGAAAACTGAGTATTGAGGTGAGGACCTGAGACCTATGAACACGAACAATACAATGTCTGTTTTCCACCAACTTGATTGGAATCCACAATTTCAGCGGCGGTAAGAATCTCAAGTGTCTGGTTATGATTGTTCATTTGGTTCCTCTTGCGTCTGAGGCTATAGAACCAATCTCAACATCATAGATCAACCCCTTTGATGTGGCCAACTCCCTAGCCGACTGGCCAGATGCCGCTCGAATGTCCGGGTCAGCCCTTGCCCGGAGCAAAAGTTCGATATGCTCGCCCCGTATGTGGCCTCCGAGTTGACTGGCGGGGTTGTGGTAATGGGTCTCAATGTACATGTAAAGGGGAGTGCGGCCTTTGTTATCTTGTGTGTTGATATCCTTCCCAGCCCCATGGGCGAGCAGAAAGTCGACACAAGCCCGGTAACGGTGGATGAAGGAAACGGCAAGGTGGAGTTCTGTCTGTCTATGCGCATTGGGTAGGAGCTGTGCTCCTTCTTCTATGAGGCGACAGAACCATTGGTGGTTTTCTTGGTTACGTGGCAGAGTATGATGGAGGAGGCTCCGTCCGCTCCGATCGAGGCTACTTAGGTCGGCACCCTTTTGCTTGAAGAGGTGTAACAGACGCAGACTGACTACTTCGACTTCAGCCTCCTCTTCATAGACACTACTCTGCCAGCAGTTAGCGAGGTGGAACGCAGTCGTTCCATCTGTAGTGCGGTAATTCGCCAGGTCGCTCGAAATCGTTTCGCTTAGGGGCCACAGCAGCTCGATTACCTCGAAATGGCGACCTTCACAGGCCCGGTGCAGCGGCAACCAGCCGTTTGGATCAGTCGCTAGAGGGTCGGCACCATGGTTTAATAGAAACTGAACCGTCTCCAGACGCCCATTCCCAGCAGCGATATGAAGTAGGGTCCCGCCCGACCAGTTCCATGTAGGCAGAATCTGTTCGTTGATATCCACGCCTCCACGGTCGAAGAAGAAGTGAACAATGTCTGGATGGCCGTTGCGTACTGACCGAGCGAAGAGGCTCATTCCTTTTCCTTCCTCGCCCCTGGCGGCGGGGCAATCAGGGAGCTCTACCCCGTGGTCAAGGAGCATCTGGATCATGTCCATGCCCATAGATGTGTCAATTGTTGGCAGGATGATCGGCTCGGGCGGATTTCCGTTGCCGGACCGACAAACCGACATTCGAGGAAACAAATTTGGGCGAGCGCCATTATCCAGTAAGAGGCGAAAGACTTGGATGCCATCCTGCCACGACACCTCCGGTAGACGAGGCTCCATCCCGTGGTAGGTGTCGTATTCTTGATTCAGGGCTGCGTCGGCGAGAGCTCGACCCAGGACATCCTCGGGACTCCCGGAGGCGGATATTGACGGAAGAGACAGGCGAGGGTCTTCGGGTGACGAAAAAGCGAGGCGGCAATGACTGCATCCGGCCACTCCCCTGCGGCGATAAGACCCGCAGGCTGCAGCCGTTCAATGAAGCGTTGCACGGCGGCCTCGCAGCCCCAGAAGGCCGCAGTCATGAAGGCTGTATGCGGTCTTCCCTCCTCACCAAGCTGTCCTAATTGCGTGCAGCAAAATCCAGCAGCCGAAACGTCGTCCTGGGAGGCATCCGCTCCCGCGTCGAGCAGAAGGTCTATTAATTCTGGAGAGTTTGCCATGCCGGCTAGGTGCAGGGGAGGTAAGCAAACAGCGCCATACGACTCACAGCCCTTCTGATTGACATCAAAGCCGCGTGAGATCAGGAAGCGGGCAATATCAGAATAATGGTTGTTGATTGCGATGTGAAGGGGCGTGTCGCCGTATGTGGGCAGCTCCGCAGGATCAGCAGAATCAAGAAGCACGGCGATGGCAGGCAAATTGCCTACTCGAGTCCATCCTATCATTTGTTCATTCACTCCACTCATTGCCGGGTACGGGACTCGTGGGTAGCATGCCATGACGTTTTAGGAGGCAAAGGGAGACATAACCCATAGGACAGATCAAATGGAAGACAACTACGAGGGGAAAGGAGAAGGCAATTTTACATGTTCACGTTTCGGGTGCGACCCAGAAAGATACAGGATTTACAGTACGTAACGTGTTATTTACTGCAGATTACAACCTACCGCCATCTGCCCCGTCAAACTCGCGCATGACCCCTGAAGCCCCGAAGCCCCGATACCTCAAATCCTCAAGTCATGTTGGATACTACTCTCTAAATCTTCTCTGTGACCGATTGAATCAAGCCGAACAACTACCGTACTCTGCCAAGCAGTTTGCTGCTGCACAATACGCATCTGAGCTACCAATTTTCAATTCAATTCAATTCATGTTCTATAAACTAAGGAGCCTGGTGAGAGAACTCAGCCCGCCTATTGCGGCATAGCTATGAAGGTGCTTGGACCAAGAACATGCCCTGTACGCCCTGTAACGCCTAAAAAGGAAAACACCATATGTGAGGGCGAGCCGAACGGGTTTGACTAGTTTTGCTTGTTTGTCTTGTTTGCCTTCAACGCGGATAACACAACACCGCGGAGACGTAGTAATTCCTTTCTTCTCTTCTTCTCTTCCCCAAGCTTACGATTTTGTTCAAATAGCACCAAATCAATGGAATCAAGTTGACCTGACTGGCTGTCACACATATATATCGGCCCTGCGGCCGTTCCCAGTCCCCCTGCGTCTTTCTTTATACTCTGCACCGTTCCCGCGACTTCCCGGGCTGTTTCCTCCAATTACACATCGTCTTCAGCATCTATACCCATTGCCCTTAGGCCTATTGGTTCCTCCTTCTCAGCGGCCCCAGCCACAACGACGTGGCTGAATTGGCCCAGAAGGCCTGTTCTAAGCATAAACTCGGCAACGTAGCGGATTGCCTGCGGGTGCGAAACCAACGTATCGTAGTCAGAGAGTTGGCTGCTTTGCAGCCCACGCTCGCCCACTGCTTTTTCCACTTAAGCTTGAAATTCCCGCGAACTGCCCTCTTCGCTGCAGAGGCAAGTCTCGTGACCGGTTCGCCCAAGGCCTCGCTTAAGGTCTTCGCCTGCGGCCCGTCCCGGGGTCCCGTTGAGCTTAATCAAACGTTGGTGGCCCGGCAGGCAGCCTGCTTGGCCACCTCGTCCGCCCTCTCGTTCCCGGGCACCCAGATATGTGCAGCCGCGCATTTTTGAATCCGCGTAAAGGCTAGTTCCAGCTCTTAGCACGTTTCCTTGCATTAGTGGTGTTGCTTCCCGGGCTGTACCACGCTGAGATGCCCCAAAAAGGCTGAGGGACCATCACCGTGCGGTAGATCTGATATATTAGGATTACCGATGTTCCCCAGGCTGAGCCAGCTAGCCCGCGGAACGCCTCAAGGCTTCCCCTGGCTTTAGCTACTACTTTAGCGCAGTGTATCAAAAGGCCTTTATCGATCCAGACCTTCAGATATCGAGCTGATACACTTGGTCTAATTACAACTGGCGGTTCGCTTGGGACCTGAATTGCTAGGTTGTCGTGTCCTTGTGAGATCCCACTCGTTCTCAGGCTAAGGCAGCTCGTCGAGTTCTCAATAGCTACTGTCGGTTGCTCTTGGGTTGCGAAAGTGGATTGAATCAAACTTGTTTGGTACAAAGGTCGATGCATGTTGTTTTTACTATCGGATTGCCCGACTAAGGGCCTGCTCAAGCAATTGCTGATTTCTTGCATATGTGCGAGAAATCGCAAAGATCATAGTGTTATTAACAAAAACGCGCCAGCTACACCAAACAGCACGCCACCATGGAATTATCGATCGGGAAGAGTGGAAAGTTATATCTAACTCCATTTCCTGCCGATTTATCGCTTTTCAACGGCGTTTTCAGCCCTCGTGGTTGCATGGCAGCTCGATGATGTCTAAAACGCCCTCCAGAAAACCAACGTGGCCTCAACTCGGGGCCGACCACCTCCATGAAAATCTACAAGCATACGCGATAGCCATCAACAACGCCCTCAAGCAATTCAAAGAAGAGCAGGGAAGTACGGGCAACGGCCCGCCGAAGTCAGTCTTTCTCCCGCTGATCGAAACCCTCATCGATTTCGCCGGCCGAGTCGCCGAGGCGCCCTCGGTGGACGCCCTCCGCGAGGACCTCAAGGAGATCAAAAGCACCCTTCAAACGCAGGCGAATCAGCAGCTGCAGATCGCCAAAACCGTCAGCGCCCTCAGCACCAAGCCCTCGGCCTCTCCCGCGGGAACGCCGGGGGCACGCTCGTACGTCGACGCCGTTCGTCGTGCGGTCGCAACCGCCACCTCCGGGTCCTACGTGAGCAACTGGCTCGCCAAGGCCCAGACCAACGCAACCGACGCCGCAGGCAAGTCGTCGTCGCCGAGGACCTCGTTATTCACGTGCGCAAGACCGCGGACACCGTGGTCAACCCGCTGCGGCCGGATAACAAGGCCCTGGTGGACCGCGTCAACAAGAGCATCGCCGACACGAAGGACAAAATGATCGCCCACCGCCGGATCCTGGCGGGCACGGTGAAGCCCAGCGGCGACGTGGTCCTCACGGCCGACAACTTGGAGGACCTCGAGCGCCTCGTCCGCACACGGGCCCCCTGGGTCAAGGTCCTTGGCCCGAACGCGGTGATCAAGCGACGCGGCTACTCCATCGCTGTCTACGGCATGGATATCGGCCGTATCAGCCACGGGGACCCCGCGAAGCAACAAAATGCCTTGGCCGAGAGGATCAGAGCCGCCAACGCCAGCCGCCTGGCCGCGAGGCCCGCCGAGATCACGTATGTCGGCTGGGTGCGGCCGTGGAAGACCGTCACCCGGGAGGGTGAGCCCTCTACGCTCGTGGTCGAACTCGATAGCCCGAACGCGGCGAACGCCCTCCTCCGGGGAGGCTTTGTGCTCGACAGGAAGTACTTCGATACGGGCTACTACGATCGCGATCAGCAGCTCTTGCAGTGCTTTGGATGCCAGGAATACGGTCACATCAAGCAGCACTGTCGGAGGAACCGGGCCTGCGCGTACTGCGCCGGCTCGCACGAATCAACGGACTGCACGTTCAGAAACGACTAGGCACACGCCAAGTGCGCAAACTGCGGGCTGAAGCATTTCGCCGCCTTCGACCGCGTCTGCGCCAAGAAGAAGGATCGATTGGAGGCTATCCGGCAGCGCCGGCTGGAAGCCCCCGCGCTGTACGTTGAACTGCCTGTCAGCGACAGCGACACCACCGTCCAAACCGCCCCCGACGCGAGCCCCGAGCTCGCCCAATCGCAACACGCCCCCGCCGTTCGATAACAACCCGGGCCGCGGCTGCTCGCAGCAAAAGCCGCCGCAAGTCGACCGCGAAGCCGACGGTGGAGGTCGAAGCCGTGACCGAGAACGATCGCGGCAAGCGACTGAAGCACCGCCACGAGGAGGACAATCGAGAGATCATGGAAATGGACACCCGCAGCCGAAGCCCTTCCATCGGGCCAGCGCCAACTGGAACAGCTTCGGTCCTCAGCCTCGACGATATCTTGCACATGTCCAAGCCCGTGAATCGATACCGCAGCAACCGGCGTAACCAGTTCACCGTCCCGGACGAGAGTAGCGACGACGAGCTCAGTGCCCTCGCCCCGGACGCCACCGAATCCACCGTGGTCGTGAGCAATGAATAGCCACCGCAAGCGGCTTGAAATCGTACAGGCGAACTGTTGGAAATCCAACAGCGTCATGACGCACCTCTTCGGTGAGGAGGGGGTGCGGAATACAGGGCTAATTGCTATTCAAGAGCCCTGGATGAACCGCTACGGCAGCCAGTTGACCACATACTCCCAGGCCCTGGGGGGGCGTTTTCACCTGGCCATGAAACCGACACTAAGTGCGGAGCTTGCTCCGCGGGTCTGCTTCTTCGTGAGCAGGTACATCGATCCGAGGACTTGGGCGGTCCGGCACCGATCGCGGTTCCTCAGCACCCTTACGCTGCAGGTTCGGGGGAGAGCCGCGTCCACGTCCACACTATATATCGGCCCGAAGGGCAGCGATCAACGCGAAACCGACGAACCCGAGCCGACGCCCGAACGCGAGGATGAGGACATCCAAGAGGAAGAGAAGAACCCGGTCCTCGAGCTGCTGTCGGTGGCTTGCAGGAACCGGGCGAACACATAGTCCTCGGCGATTTCAACCTGCACCACCCGCTATGGAATCCGCCGGGATACACCCACACCGACAAGGCCGCCAGCCTGCTGCTCGATATCGCCACCGACAAGGACCTTGGGCTACTCCTGCCGGAGGGAGCCGTTACGTACGAGAAGGGCAACGCCCGTACCACCATCGACCTGACGTGGGCCACGTAGTGGCTTAGGGGACGCCTCAGCTACTGCTCCCCACGGAAGGACTGGTGGATCGGAGTAGACCACATACCAATATGCACAGTGTTCGACTTCAGCCCTGCCCCTGCACCCGCGGTGAAGCGGTGGGACTGGGTAAACACCGACTGGCAAGCCTACCGGAGCGAACTGGCCAACCGGCTGCACCGGCGGCCGGTGACGTGCCAACTGGTTCGGCCGGTCACAATCGACGCAGCCGAAGTCGCCACGCCGAGGAAGACCATCACCGGGCACACCAAGCCCGGCTACACCGAGGAAATGAAGGAACTGAAGCACCGCGTGCAGTAGGCGAAGCGCTGGGCCAAATCCGGCCGCCCCGCGGACCGCGAGGCCTACAGCCGAGCCCGCAACGCACTATACCGAGAAACTGCTAAGCAGAAGCGACAGCTTCATCGAGAGAGAGTGGAAGATGGGGGACGCTCTATAGAGGGATTCTGGAAACTGGCCCGATGGGCCCGGACACGCGGGGACCCACGGCCTACATTTACACCCGCACTTCAGTCACCAACCGGGGAATTGGTGGAGGAACCCGAGGCCAAAGCCGAGCTCTTTCGGCGAGCCCTGTTCCCGGCCGTCGGTACGGCGGACCTTGCCGATATCGACGGCTACGACTACCCCGAGCCGTACG